GGCCTAGGCACTAGGCATCCCTAGACCGTGGCGATTTCACCCCGGCCCTAGGCGGCCGCCTAGGTGACTGGCCGTCTAGGCGCCTAATTCGGCCGACTCGACCGCCTAGGCAGCCGCCCAGCGCATAACTCGGCCGAGTTAACTCGTTCATTTCGGTCGAGTTAGCCGAGTTAACCCGGTCGACTCGGCCTTACTAATGTTTTTTTCATTATATATATGAAAAAACAATTATATCTAACTTGATTTATTCTTACAATATTTCGTATTTTGCTTAGTTTCATGTTTCTATGAATTTGATGTGCTCTCTCTCTCTCTCTCTCTCTCTATATATATATATATATATATATATATATATATATATATATATATATATATATATGATAAGCTTAATTTATAGGCATTATTTAGAGTAATTTTAGTTAGTGAGTTGCATAAATAAATTAAGTTTTAGGGTTAATTATATTATAAATATTATATTTAGTTATATCTTACTAGTTTAGATGAGTTTTATTAAATATTAGTCTAATGTTGCATTTTTATTAATATATTAATAAGAGTTTTATTTTATCTAAAGTATTAAATTTACTTAATAGTTTTATATCTTCAATTTTTTAAATAGTGCTTTAATGCTTAAGTGTAATTAACTTATGTTATTAGGTTATAATAATAATTGTCTTTACTTTAATTTCCTTTATTTTTATATTAATTTTGTTTTTGCTTTTTCTTGTGGATTGGCGCAGCAAAAAGAGAAGAGAAAGAGATAAGGTTTAAAAGAATTGGTTTTGGTTTTTAACTATTGGCGTAGTTAAATAATAGACAAAGAGAAGAGAAGTCAAATTGACTATATCACTTTTATTTTATTTTAATAAAGAGGATTGGATCCAAAAATAAAATCCGCTGGAAGTCAAAGCCATGGAAATGAAATCATATCACTCCCTTCTCTTTGTCTATTATTTCTTATTGTTGATTCAATCCTGAAACCCACCGGTTAGGAGCTATAGGCTAACGGGCACAAACAACATTACAACAAAAAAAACCAAGAAAGAAAAAAGAAAAAAAAAGTAGATGAAAATGAGATTTTGAAAGTTGTTTTGAGAATTTATCAGTGAAAAGGATGAGGAAGAATGTAGTGATGGCTTGTTTTGGTAGAGTTTGGTAGAATACAAATTCTTGCTCTTAATATGGTGAAATTATGGCTCTACTGATTCCTTGGACCTTATTTGTATTTCCTTATATCCTTTCTTTCTTAAACCACATATCATTGGCCCCATTACAACCAAGAAATAAAGACCTTTTGACTCGTGTTGTTCATATAATTTTGGTAGTGGAGTTTTGGTGGACAAGCAAGCTTATGGCAAGTGCACTCTCAATAAAGGATGATGTGTACCTTTCTTATACATATATTTATGAGAGATTGAGTGAACAACCGTGATGACTACTATTCTCTATTGTCTTGTGTGCATATGGCTTTGAACTCTCCTGAAGTATTATGTGTTTACCATCTCCTTGAATTGAATCCCTAGTTGATATGGTTATGGTTGGTAGTTTTATTTCACTGCATAAGTTTGCTTGGGGAAAAGCAAAGCACTGAGTGTGGGGAAGTTTGATAAGCTTAATTTATAGGCATTATTTAGAGTAATTTTAGTTAATGAGTTGCATAAATAAATTAAGTTTTAGGGTTAATTATATTATAAATATGATATTTAGTTATATGTTACTAGTTTAGATAAGTTTTAATAAATATTAGTCTAATGTTGCATTTTTATTAATATATTAATAAGAATTTTATTTTATCTAAAGTATTAAATTTACTTAATAGTTTTATATCTTCAATTTTTTAAATAGTGCTTTAATACTTAAGTTTAATTAACTTATGTTATTAGGTTATAACTAGTAATTCACCCGCGCGATGCATGGAAAAAAATTATGTTATTATAAATATAAATAAAAAATAGAAAAACTAAAATATTTTAAATGATTTAATATAATAATATTTTTGAGCTTCCATTGGTCAAGTATTTATTATTTTTATAGAATACAAAATTACAATTAAAATTAAAATTAAAATTAAAATTATAATTATAATTTTGTATGGTTAATATAATCTCTAATTATGTGCATATTCAAATAAACTTGTAGAGATAATTTACATAATTACATTGATTTATTCTTAATTGTATTTCATCTATCTTATAATTTTCACAATACAAATAATAACTAAGATAATTACATTTGGAAAGCAAATTTCAAATTTTGTATTTGTAAATTTAAACTCTAAGTGAACACATTTTTTATATGATTATATAATATATAGCTATTTTATTTTTCAAAAGTATATTTTTATATGATTATATAATATATAGCTATTTTATTTTTTAAATGTTGTGTTTTTTTTTTAATTTTTTTATTTTTATAATAAAGGATGTTGTGGCATTAATTGTAACATTAATTATTTTCCAAACCATATAACTTTATTATATAAAGGATAATAATTGTATTTACTTTAATTTACTTTATTTTTATATTAATTTTGTTTTTGCTTTTTCTTGTGGATTGGCGCAGCAAAAAGAGTAGAGAAAGAGATAAGGTTTAAAAGAATTGGTTTTGGTTTTTAACTATTGGCGTACGGTAGTAGACGAGAGGAGAGAAAATAGCGAAGGAAAAAAAAAAGGAAGCCAGGGAGCGCAGGCAGCAATTCGGCGAAGAGATTCAAGACTCCATTGCAAGGAATTTTCGAGTTTCAATCGCGACTATCTTCTTCTTAGGCTTGAATTATTTTCCTTCATCTCTATCTTTATTCTTGTTTAAATTTCAAGAATACTATTTATTGAACAATTGATGCATTTAATTATGATTCTTGGCTAGAATTCTTAATTAGGAATTTGGAATAGCCTAGATTAGATTAATTGACTATTCTTCATGTGTTGATTCTTCTAGTTTCAGTTTAATAATTGAATTTGATTATATTTATTTTATGTATTTTAATTGTGAATTGTGTGACTGGCCATTGCATAATTCTAATATTAGGGTTCATAAGAAGAACTGACAGGTGAATTATGAACCTAGAACTCGTAAGATAAACACAATTGAGCTAAACTAGACATAGCTTTAGATATTTGTGGTGAGATTTGATTGTTGCTTAATGGGTTCAATTAATGTTGGTGAGATATTGATGGATGATCACAGTTAATTGGATACAACCTAGTAGCTCGACGGAGTATTAGGATATATATGGAGCAATTGTCACTAGAATCATAAGAATCAATACTTAGGAGAGTTAGGAGAGTTAGTTAATTAACTAATAGGTAAACCCCAAATCCCTAGTTTTCTCTCAATTGGAACTTTCTTTGCTTTAATTTCATAAATATTCTTTTTAATTATATTAATTCTAGTCATTTGCGTTTTCTTAACAACAAATTGATTATTTAAGATAACAGTTAATAGTGTTCTTCGTGGGATCGATCCTGGAATACTCCAGGAATTTATACTGTGATTGACTCTGTGCGCTTGCAGATTATAGCAATCGATATATATATATATATATATATATATATATATATATATATATATATATATATATATATATATATATATATATATACTTTTTGTTCAAATGCCGTCACGCCTTAACGTGCGACCAAAAATATTGTCCACATTCCAAAAATAAACATCATTCAATTTTTATTTTTTTCGTATTGCCCCTTTAACTTTTTATAAAGTACTCCATATTCATTGGTAGGTCATAGTTATAATCTACTGTCAAATCAAATTTACTATGCAAAATTTCACGGAGTACTATGCACTTTACCATCGTTCTTCAATTTTTAACCCCCTTAATAGTTCTTCTTCCCATTTTTAAGCTTATGGTATTTTATTCCCTCTACATCTGTGTGCTTTTTTTTTTTTTTTTGAGTTGCGAGCAATGCTTCATCCCCTTTCAATATTTTTTTTTTTTTTTTGAGTTACGAACAATCTTTCACCCCCTTTCTATTATTTTGATCTTTTTGTTTGTTTGTGTGTTTATCAAATCAACAAAATGCATATTGCGTTAATTTATGGAGTAATTTCATATCTTTTGCTCAAATTGATTTTTATTGCATCTATGGACATCTCCAGTCGTGACTTTGATACTTCATATCTATAGATATCTCGAGTCTTTGTTCATCCATATCTTCTTATTGTATAGGAGAATACAAAGGCATTAGAGATTTTTAGAAGTTCAATTTGGTTTGTGTTATTGTATACAAGGTAGTAGTCCGTATTTTTTTTTTTTTTTATTTTTAACTAGTGAGTGTGTATGAAGAATATCAGACGAAGAACAAAGCTGTTTGACAAAGAGATATGAAGAAGTGTACAGATGGGATGAAAAAAAATGTAGAATAGTCAGAGTACATAAAAGGTAAAAATGTAAAGGGAGTTAACTTTTGTTCATTGTCTTTAAGTACGTGCCAAATAAAAATAGGACATACATTTTCGAACAGATGGAGTACTATATATGAAGGTAAGCAAGGAATTGTTTTTACAAGGGTAGTGTCCTGATGTCTATCACACTAATTGAAAAGTTACATTTAGCAACTAAGAGCTAAGCACACCAGCGCGCGCGCACACACACACCGATTTTTATGCCTATTCCACTAGCCTACAAGATTCTTAACACGTGTAAGAACGCGTTAGGTGATTTGTGAATTCTATCTCAAGATCCCAATTGGCATAACGAATGAAAGACATGCTTCATTAGGTATTCTCTTGTGAAATTATATCTTTAGGGCAAAAACATGGAATATGTTTATCAATTACAAAGTAAATTATACCCATTCAAACTAGTCAAAAAATCCACAACACAAACGCAATCAATAAGACAAATTTGTTGCTAATACTAGACAATTATATTCCAATTCTGGATTGAAGAAGCTCAATACACATGACAAATTATTAATAACGTCCAAAATAATATTCAGTAATTGAGATAGAAACATTAACAACATTTAGTACTTGTAAAGCCTAACCCTAGGTCAAATAAAAGAGGGCCAATTATGAATAACAAATTTTTAAGTACTTGTGAACTTGGTCACCGCCTTGGTTCCCTCAGAAATTGCATGTTTAGCTAATTCGCCAGGCAATACAAGCTTGGCAGCGGCCTGAATCTCTCGGGAAGTAATCGTTGGCTTCTTATTATAGTGGGCAAGCTTGGTAGCCTCTTGTGCCAATTTCTCAAAGATGTCATTGATGAAGTTATTCATGATCCCTATGGCCTTACTAGAGATCCCAAGGTCGGGGTGGACATTCTTCAGCCCCTTGAAGATGTAGGTCTTGTAAGACTCAATGTTCTTCTTCGTCTTTTTCTTCTTCTTGTCACCGGAAGCGGTGCCAACGTCCTTGGGAAGCTTCTTCCCACGCTTGGGCTTCTTTTCCACTGTTTCCTTCTCGCCTACAATGGCATTCTTTTCCTCTGTCGATTTCTTTTCAATTGGCTTCTTGTTTGTTTTTTTCTGTGCCATTGTATCAAGATTTCTACAGAAAAAATCTTGGGTTTGATGAAAAGAAGAAAATGGGATTTTAGGTGATGGCGAAATAGTGAGTTTCGATGAGAGGTTTATATAGAAGCTGATGATGAAACCTAATTGGCTATGCAAGGTATGCGTGGATTGATGAGGTGGAAGGATATGGAGTGTTTGATGATGATTTTGAATGCGATGGTAAATCAACGCTGGAGATTAACTCCTTAAAGTAGGATTTGTGTTTTTCAAATTTTGGGTACGGATGGAGGGAAATTTTAGAGATTTCAATTTGGCGCCTAAGACAACTGGGCCGAGCTTCTAGCCCATGGAAATAACAATATTTGGGGGTCCATCGTGATTTGTGGCCGACACCGATAATTATATCGTGAATCATGGTCTACATTACAGGATAGACTACAAATATACATATTTATTTTTAGTATACTTAAAATTTTACTTTTAGTATCACTACACCAAATTAAGCATTTAGCGGCGGTTTTTTTGTGTATCGCGGTGGTTTCAAACCGCCACTAGTATGTTTAGCGGCGGTTATTCAACCGTGTCTAAATAGTGTGTCGCGAAGCATTTAGCGGCGGTTTTCAACAACCGCGGGAATTAATGAAAAACTCATTTAGCGGCGGTTTTTGGTGCATTTAGCGGCGGTTACAGAACCGCCGCTACATATATATATTTATTTGAAAAAATTTAGCGGCGATTTTGTAACCGCCACTAAATATATATATTTATTTGAATAAATTTTAGCGGCGGTTTTGTAACCACCGCTAAATATATATATTTATTTGAATAAATTTAGCGGCGATTTTGTAACTGCCGCTAAATATATATATTTATTTGAATAAATTTAGTGGCGGTTTTGTAACCGCCACTAAATATATATATATATATATATATATATATATATATATATATATATATATATATATATTATTGTTTTTGAATAAATTTTAGTGGCAGTTAGTAAGTGTTGCTAAATATTTGTCTTGATTTATTTTTTAAAATAATAGAGGTGGTTATTAAGTGTCACTAAATAATTTTTTGTTTTCATAATTAAGTATCGTTAAATGTTTACATTATTATATTTTTATAATTATCATTTAATTATATTTCTTCAAAAATCTTTATATTCAAATGCGTACCCATTTAATTGAAAAAAATCAATTGTAACTAATATTTATCAAATAATAATATTCAATAGTATTCAAAGAAGTAGCTTCCTCAACTTAACATTTCTTCCATGGTCTTTAATGCATTTTCATTCCCTGACAGTTCATAACATTATTCTTCAAATGCAGATACAGGCAGCGTTTACAATCTCAGTCCTTGACATCTTTAAAAACTCTGGTCATATTTATGAAGTTCTGCATTCACTTTCTCTTCATCCCACATAAACCCTTGAATGTATGTTCTACAAGGAAGATTAAACATATTCAATAATTTAGGATCTTTAATCCATTAGTAAGTTGTGTAAGAAGTTTGCTGGTGAAAGCAACAGAGGTAATCACCTGAACCCACTCAAAATAGCTGATAGTAACTCCACCTGAGTTTGCATAGATGTCTGGTAAAATCACAACTCCTTTCTTTGCTAAAATCTGCAGATCGAATACATTACACTTATCTTCATTTATCAATGGCTTTGAAATTCTTATTACACCTTGATCCTACACAACCCAAACACAAAACCAATGATATAACAATGGTGAAAACTTAACAGCAAGATTTTTTTATTTTTTATTTGAAAACAGTAAGATTGAATCAATTTCCTGGGTATTCTATCTTAGCAAAGAGGAAGTAAATCGCAAGAAGTGTATCAACTGGCCTACAGACCTCCAAATGCTTAAAGCTACACCTCTAACAAAGCAAACCTCTCAACTTATTTATAAATGCATGTACTTCCAATACATGACATTATTTATCATCAATCACAAATAAACAAACTTGAGAAGGGAAGATTACTCAGAAACAGTTGGAAGGCATACATATATATATATATATATATATATATATATATATATATATATATATATATATATATATATATATATATATATATATATATATGATGATGCAGGCAGACACATACATACATCTTAATATGGATGGTTGGTTAATAAATTAAAGTTGTAATACTACCTCAGAAGCCATCCAGCGAAAGCTTCCAACATCAGTAGAAAAATCACCTTCCAGACCCTCCCTACACAGCCCAAAGTCCCCAAGCTTCACACTCTTCTTGCTTTCTGATAGAAAAATATTATCTGCAATCCAAGAAGATTACTTAGCTTGATGACTAAAAAGTTATATCCAAAAAGTCCCCAAGCTTCACAGTTTTAGTATATATGCTATAGGTTCGTTTTTATTATACTATATAGTTTATTTTTAGTATAATATCTAAAAATAAATGTTTGATAAACTAAATAATGAATATTTGTCAGTAGTTCGCTTTTCAGTATGGACCAATGTCCACAAAATAATTTGTTCTGAAATAAAGAATAGCCACCGAAAACTAAAGCTGACGGATATCTCACAAAGAGATTATTTTTATTGTATATTGTTATTATTATAAAAAAAAATTACAAGATATAATGAATAACTATTTTGTTGGGGTGATGAGGGAAACCACAATCAGTCAGTCACTACCAAGGGTGTGAATAACCATATTGGAGTTATTGGATACTTCCACCTAACGCAAAGGCAAAGCCTAATCCAAGGATGAATAAGACAATGAGGGTCTAGTTGGCGACACATTGTCGAACAACATGGAGCATTCACGCCTCTAAGGCAATACTCTAGTGGATGAGGTAAACCAGCCTAGATTGTCCATAACTGAACGGCTCAAGCCAAGAAGGACAATAGAGACAATGTATTGCTTCCACTAAGAGTCGAACTTGGAACATTGTGGTTACCAAAATAAGGCAATTTGGATGCATTATTTGGGTGCATATTGTTCCTTCTTTGGGTGCATATTGTTCCTTCTTTGGGTGCATATTTTTCCTTTTTCGAGTGCATGTTGTTACTTCTTTGAGTGCATAACTTAGAACTTAAGGTGCATAAGTTTAGACCGTTGTGTGTATAACTTCAGAACTTAAGGTGCATAAATTTATATTGTTAGGTGCATAACTTTAAAATGTTATCTTTGCACTGTAAGGTGCATAAGTTTGCACCTTAATTGGGGTGTATAGAGTTTAGCATACGAGTGCATACATTTTGATCATTAGGTGCATAACTTTGTTGCCTTAGGTGCATACTTTTTTTTTTTTTTTAAATAACGGAACGTTTATTAACGGCGAATAGCCTGAAGCGAGGCGAAGCCTCTGAGATCGTACAAATAAGCCAAATTGGCCTTTACAGGCAAAGCGTCAACAGTAGAAAAGAGCCTAGGAGACTGAGAATCTAAGCCAGCTGCTGCGAGGGCATCTGCAACTTGATTTGCTTCTCGATAGACATGCTTAATCGCAGAACCCCATGAGTGCATGCAAGAACGAGCAAAGAGGACCGCGTTTGCTATCTTCCAAGGAACCCTGGATGTATCTGTGCTCACCAAAGCAGCAAGAGCGAGGGAGTCCACTTCCACCGCACAAGGCCTCCGGGCGAAGGCATTGCACCATAGCAAAGCGGCCTGAAGAGAGAAAGCTTCTGCTTCCAAGGCCGATGAAGCATCCACACGGAAACATAAACCCGCCACCAGGCACCTGCGGGAGTCTCGTAGACACGCACCTCCCGCAGCCCCCTGAGCTCCAAAGGCCGCGTCAGTATTAAGCTTGAGCGTCCCCGACGGCGAAGTTAGCCACTTTATCCATACCGTGAGACGCTGCGGCGGCACATCGAGCTTGGCCACCAAACCAGATGCTATAAGAAAGTCATCACCCTGCCCCTTGCGACGAACTCTTCGAAGGCTAGAGATCATGAAAAGCTCGTGCTTAATTCGGCTGATGGCAGCGGGGCCGTCAGAGAGCCAGCGCCATAAATGCCTTGGTTATATGAACACCAAAGCACATAAAGAACGAGGCATGGCAGGATCTTCGCACACCATTCCACTGCAGTTCCCGGAGGCGCTAACAACCACCAAGCGTGGCACTCTGCCCGAATTGAAGATGCAACAGTTACTAGACCAAAAACCTCCCGGAAATGCCTCCAAACCTGGCTAGCAACCCCACAGCGGTAGAGACATGCAATGCTCCAATTCTGCTGAGTCAGAAAAGCACAACGGACAAACCGAAAGGGAGACATAAATTAAAATTCTGGAGAATGTTTGGAAAAGGCAAAATTCGGTGCAGCACTCTCCACATGAAAACTGAAACTTTCGATGGTATCCCTCCACTCCAAATGCAGCCTAAGGACAGACTTTGGCTCGCCTTCAACCTCAGCGCATCATATGCCGACGATACAGAGAACTCGCCGTAGGGATCAAGAGTCCATAAGACTATTTCTGAGTTTACTGTGGTGTTGTCCTCCACAAAGGTCTTGGCGTGATGCATGCGTCTCCAGGTAAAGGAAGCAGGCACACGGGTATCATCAACTGGCCTAATTGCGTGCATGAAGTCACTCCACAAAGAGCCCCCTCGAAGGTAGCTGAAGTATAATTTGGCCGAATATGCCTCTTGGATGGTGTCAAGTGATCGAATCCCAAGCCCGCCTTCTTCAACTGGCACTACTGGAAATTATGAAATTTCCGACCACCTGAAAATGATCTTAAATTAAGTTGATACCAAAAAGTCTAAAAAGTGGTCGGAAATAGCAACAAAGGTTTTTCTGGATACCAAAAGTGGTCGGAACAAGGCTTTCGACTTGATTTAAGATCAATTTCAGGTGGTCGGAAATTCCATAATTTCCAGTAGTGTGGGAAACACACCTTTCTCCAAGCCACCCAATGCCGTTTTAGTTTGCCGCCTTCCAGTCCCCACAAAAAATTTGCAAACTTGGTTTCAAGAGCCTTCTGCGTTTGTCTGGGCAAGGGAACGGAGTTACGGAGGCCACAGTGTACG